TATATATATATAAGTAAAATTCCGCTCCTTCAGTTTTAAAAAAATTGACACTATTACTATTTGGGAAGTCTACGAGGTTGTTCTTTGACCAAGTTTTTCTTTAATATTTAATAAATATTTTGAATTATGAATTACTATTACTAATAATACATTTTATGTAGTTTCTGAAAATATTAATTTATTTTCAAAAACTTAAAGAATCTATTTTCAAATTTACAGTCAAAGATAAGCACTTTGACCCTCGTACTCCGAATCATGACAATCTTTTTTTAAACGGAGGGAGTATACATTAAATTGTATTAAGAAGCATTTTAGGTGATATACTTCTTGGTGTCTATGGTCCTTTTAAATGTCAATGTTGCTCTCAAGGTAATTTTGAGACTGTGGATCACCTTTTTAGTGAAGGTGAGCTGGCTTCCAATCTGTGGAATCACTTCTCCAATGCCCTTGGTATCCCTAACTGATACGATCCTAAATAATCCGGCCAAATCGGAGAATATTGAAGATGACCCCGAATTATCTAGTGGACCATAGACTCACTCCAAGTACTAGAATGCTCCAGGGATGCACGCTGAGGAGCTGTATGATATTCAATAATTGACTAGAAGATCAGCACGGTAATGGGTATGATCCGTTCGTGGGTATTGTCATGGGCGGCTTTCCATCCATGCCCATGACCCCTTGGACGTGCCCCGTGGCGTCCTAGCAAGTCTCCGAACGCCTAGCGCCACGGACGGCCCCGTGGTCTTGGCTGCGCATGTGCCTCCGTCACCCCACCGATATCCCTCGCTAGTGCCCAGCTGCAGGCAGATGCAAACAGCACCGCGCGCAGACCGTGATGCCAAAGACAAGGTTGCTGACAACGGACCTGTTTCTACCTTGGAGAAAACTAAGTCCTTGCCATTGTAAATATAGAGAAGTTTTATTTCATGTACTTCCATTATGTTCCTCTAGCTTAGTTAGGTCTAGTCTTGTAACTTTGGTTTATTTTTTAAGCACTATTAGGGGGGATCAAGCAATCAAACTTTCTAGCAAGCAAACAATTCTCTATACTGGTGTCTCTCCCCCTCGACACCGTGTTGCTGTTTCTGTAATAGCTTTCATTAATGCAATCAATTTTCTTTCATTCTCAATTCTCATTTCTGTTTTCTTAATTACTCTTGACATTGGTTTTCCCGTACGACACTAACTATCTCGTCTAGCGTACGGAGGTGTTCTCATTTGGCGGATAGTAACTGCACTGACATCAGTTGCATAGCCTTACGTCGTCCTTCCAAAGAATCTCAAGAAGGTGCCGCGTAACAGTTGGTATCAGAGCCTAGGCTCGACATCGGACGAGGGAACACATTGCCATTACCATCATTTCTGACCATGGTGAATCACGGGGACCGCATTGCGGCCCTTGAAGAGACGGTTGACGTATTACGGACCATCGTGGATACGGTGCTTGAACTAAGAACCAGCCTAGTGCAAAGGTTGGACGACCTGGACCGCAGAATGCTCCAAGCCGAAGTTTAACATAGAAAACATCAGTCACGACTCTAAGGGAGACCGACAAACGGCAGCCACAGAGGCAGCCAAAATTTTTGGCAAATTCGAGGGCCTCCAACAGGAGCGTGCCGAGGAATTCCCCGTGCTCATGCTGAACATACGTGACATGGGGGACAAAGACAAACTCTTCACCTTCTTGGAAGGGTTGAAACCTTATGCCAATATGGAGCTGCAAAGACAAAGGGTAGATACCCTTCCCAAGGTGATCCAAGCAGCTGAATGCCTTGGGGACTATCAAGTGGAAGCTCGGAAGGATAGGCCTCAACCGCCTGCCCGAACAGAATACAAAGGGGGCCAGCCTAGCAATGGTGGCCCTAGCAGAAGTGGGGGAGATCGGAGTGCAACCAAATCTAAGGCTCCCTTCTCAGGCAGCAATAGTGCTGCGTCAAACAACAATGATTAGGGGAAAAAGCCCCATTTAGTATGTCATCATTGGGGTGGACCACATTGGAATAATGAATGCCCACATGCACAGATGAACGCCCATCAACATTTTGATGATAGGACCGATGATGACACAGATGATGCGGACGAGACCGAACCAGTAGGTGCCTTCAATGCAATTGTTGGCTCTATTTCTGAGGCCTTAGTGAAAACCAGTGCTGGTATTCGTAAGAAGAAGGACCCCTGTCCAATCACCAAGAAAGGGAAAAAGAAGGCGGATGAGGGGACTCCTCTTAAACAAGAGAGGACCTTAATGTTCGTCGAGATGAAAGTAAATGGCAAGCCCATTCGGGTGATGATAGACACGGGTGCTACCCACAACTACTTAGCCTCGACTCAGGTGGAATTCCTTGGTCTAGTTGTAGGAAAGTGTAGAGGTCGTGTCAAGGCTATAAACTCACCTCCTGAACCAGTGGGTGGAATAGCCAAAGAGGTACCGGTGAAGCTTGGCCTTTATGAAGGAAAATTCAACCTGCGAGAGCTGATCATAGATGACTTCGAGTTGATAGTTCGGTTGGAATTCCTAAGGCAAACCAATACCATGCCCGTACCGTATGCAGACATGCTACTGATGATAGTAACAAATGGGGCCAAGCCATGCATTATCCCGTGTATGCCCATGAAGATGGCCGCTGAGAACATCTCGGCCTTGCAGTTGAAGAAGGGGTACAAAGACATGAACCTACGTTCCTGGAAACCCTCTGCATTGAAGATATAGAACGCTCATCAGGTCTCATTCCTGCACCCGTGAAGGAGCTGCTGCTGGAGTTTAAAGATGTCATGCCACAAGATATGTCAAAGCGACTCCTGCCTAGGCGCACTGTAGACCATGAAATTGAGTTGGTGCCGAGCGCGAAGCCACCTGCCCGGGTGCCATACAGAATGTCAAAACCCGAACTCACCAAGCTTCAGAGACAATTGACGGAAATGCTAGACACAGGGATCATTGTGCCCTTCAAGTCCCCATACGGGTCCCCTGTGTTATTCTAAAAGAAACATGATGGCAGCCTGCGACTGTGTGTGGATTATCGGACTCTAAAAAGAATCACCGTAAGTACCTATTCTGCTAATGGCAGACTTGTTCGATATACTGGGTGGTGCGATGGTGTTCACCAAGATAGACCTGAAGATAGGTTATTGGCAAGTTCGGATTGCAAAGGGTGATGCGCACAAGATGACTTGTGTGACAAGATATGGTTCATATGATTTCCTGGTTACACCGTTCGGCTTAACTAATGCTCCAGCCACATTTTGCACCCTGATAAACCAAGTCTTCCGAGAGTATATTGACGAATTCGAGGTGGTCTACTTGGATGACATTATAGTATATAGTCAAACACTTGAAGAACACTTGGATCACTTGCGGAAGGACCTAGCCTGATTGCGGGAGCACGAACTATATGCGAAGCTGTCCAAGTGCTCCTTTGATCAAAAACATATTGACTTCCTCGTACATGTCATCGAGGAAGGGTGGATCAAGATGGACCAATAGAAGATTCAGGCTATCACAGATTGGCCGCCGCCTAAATATATCCACGCCTTGAGGGCGTTCCTTGGCCTATGCAACTTCTATCGGCGATTTGTCAAAAATCGCAGTGCCATTGAGAGAACCCCACAAGAAGGTCACGCCTTGGGATTGGGGACCCAGGCGAGCGGAGGCCTTTAACGCATTAAAAGCGGCTATGTCTAGTAGCCCTGTCTTAGCCCTTCCTGATTTGGTCAAGCCATTCGAGGTACAAACGGATGCCTCCGACTATGCCCTTGGCAGAGTCTTGCTACAAGAAGGGCATCTTGTAGCGTATGAGAACCGGAAGTTGAAGGATACAGAGCGGTGCTATGCCACCCACGAGAAAGAATTATTGGCTGTTGTCCATTGCTTACGCCTTTGGAGGCACTATCTACTGGGAACCCCATTCGTGGTCAAGATAGATAACACAACTATTAGCCATTTCATGACCCAGACGAAGCTGAATGGTCGACAAGCCAGGTGGCAGGAACTCCTAGCGGAATTCCACTTCAACCTGGAGTACCAAAGTGGGAATACTAATCATGTTGCTGATGCGCTCAGTCGGAGAGCTGATCTAGCATCGGTGTGCCTACTCGCCACCCTAAGGGGGAGCGAAGTAGCCACCACCATCAAAGGCCAGATACAGGATCTACTCATTAAGGATCCTGTTGCACAATATTTGGTTGATTTGGTAGAACAGGGCAGGACTCGCCAGTTCTATATGGAAGACGGTTTCCTCAAGTGAAGGGGAACTGACTTTATGTTCCTAAAGGAGGAGATCTGTGAAGGACTCATCTGGTGGAATGTCACAATACTTTATGGGTCGGCCATCCCGGTGAAGACCGCACCATGGCATTACTTCATCATTCATATTATTGGCCTCAAATGTCCGATGACGTTGCTCAATATGTGAAGACTTATCTAGTACGCCAGAAGGAAAAACCGGACCTCTTGACACAAGCGGGACTCTTGGAACCACTAGCTGTCCCAAAGAGACCTTGGGAAAGTGTTTCCCTAGATTTCATCACCGGGTTGCCCAAGGTCGGAGATCTCACAACTATCTTGGTTGTGGTGGATCAGTTTTCCAAGTATGCTACCTTTATAGCAACCTCACAATACATCTCAGCAAAGGATACAGCTTGACTCTTCTTCTCTCATGTCGTCAAATATTGGGGCTTGCCTAAATACATTGTTAGTGATCGCGACTCACGCTTTACTAGCGACTTTTGGACCCAATTCTTTAAGTGCATCTGGTCAAAACTGAGTTACAACTCAAGTTTTCATCCGAAATCTGATGGCCAAATGGAGCGTTTCAATGGCATGCTGGAGGAATATCTCCGCCATATTGTAAACGGATCGCAGATGAACTAGGTGAAGCTTTTGGATGCTGCCCAACTGTGTTTCAATTCACAAAAGAGCTCTAGTACAAACAAAAGCGCTTTTGAAATTGTTATCGGACAGCAACCGCTAGTCCCACACACCATGAATGCACCAAACATTTTAAAATCTCCTCGAGCTTCTAGCTTCTCAAAAGAATGGAAGTGAAATTTGGAGATAGTGCGGAGCTATCTTGTTAAAGCCCAAAAACGGATGAAGAGGCATGCTGATCAAAATCGTCGCTTTGTTGAATACCAAGTAAGAGACAAAGTAATGGTCAAAATTCCGAATCGATACTTGTTTGCGATGGTCCATGACCCTCGACTTTTACAAAAATACATTGGACCCTTGTCCACTGAAAGGCGCATTGGGAAAGTTGCATACCGGGTGGATAACCCAGCTTGGTGGAAAATCCATCCCATTTTCCATGTCAGTCTTCTGATACTTTTTCGAGAAGACATGGAGGATCCTTCATGGAGCCAACTCACAATACCAAGTATTTGATGCCCCAATTCAAGGGGGAAAAGGCATGCTGGAGCTATTCTTGATGATGGAGTGATTCACGCCTCAAGGAAAGATCACCAAGAGTTCTTGGTAAAATGGCAGGGCTGTGATGCAGAGGAGAATACTTGGAAGAGGGGAACAAACCTCAAAGTCTACAAGAGCCTAATTGATGATTATCTTGCAAGTAAGGCGTCGAGGACGTCACCAACTCAGGTGGGGGAGAATTTCATGGGCGGCTTTCTAGTCATGCCCCATCACCCCTTGGACGCGCCCCGTGGAGTCCTAGCAAGCCTCCCAACACCTAGCGCCACGGACGGCCCCGTGGTCTTGGCTGCGCCAAGAGACAAGCGCTCATGTGCCTCTGTCGCCCCACCAATATCCCTCGCCAGCGCTCAGCCGCAGGCAGATGCCAACAGCTCTGCGCACGCAGACCGTGATGCCAAAGACAAGGTTGCTGACAATGGACCTGTTTTTACCTTGTAGAAAACTAAGTCCTTGTCATTGTAAATATAAAGTAGTTTTATTTCATGTACTTCCATTATGTTCCTCTAGATTAGTTAGGTCTAGTCTTATAACTTTGGTTTATTTTTTTAAGCACTTTTAAGGGGGACCAAGGAATCAAATTTTCTAGCAACCAAACAATTCTCTGTACTGGTATCTCTCCCTTTGGACACCGTGTTGCTTTTCTTGTAATAGCTTTCATTAATGCAATCAAGCTTTCTTTCATTCTCAATTCTCATTTCTATTCTCTCAATTTCTCTTGACATTGGTTTTCCCACACGGCACTGACAATCTCGTCTAGCGTACGAAGGGGACCTCAGTTGGCAGATAGTAATTGTACTGACATCAGTTGCTTAGCCTTACGTCGTCCTTCCAAGGAATCTCATGAAGGCGTCGCGTAACCATACTTATGATGTGAAGAGCTTCTACAGTCATTTTGTGGCAGTACTCTTGAATTTGGTGACTCGCGTGGCTTGGTTGAATTAGAGGGATTCGGTTCTGATAGTCGGTTTATGTGCAAATGGATTTCAAGGTGTTCTCAATAGTTTCTACCACGATTCGAAGTGTATATTTCCTACCGGTGTGAGGAGATTCTCGTGACTCAGAGTTGATTATGAGATTCTCGTACTTTTCATATGATGGCATGATAGATGCGGTGTTTTGTGGGATTGAGATTTGCATGTGCAAGTATACAATTTAGTTCCAAAGGAATGACATGAGTTTTTGTAGCACAAATGATTTCGGATGTCAGCACTAATTTTGTAATTCTTGAGAAGGGTGCGCATATCAGAAGGCGCACTATGTTCTGACTTACGGATGCTTCATTGGTGTTGCGGTACTTGCCTGGTTGATCGACTGCTGATATTTAGATTTTGTTATGTGGCACGGAATACTTATAAAAATATTCCTCATGATATGATCGTGTATGAGATATGTGTTAGACATTCGGGCGGTGGAGTTGGGATCAGGTATGGTGATTCGTGTGTACTATGGATTTGGAGACCGAGAGTTCTCAAAAGCAGATTATTTCGTAGTTGTGGACTGTGAAGTTGTGGACAGATCTAGCCAGATGATAGTAAGTGTTATGATTTAGTAATTGAGGACCTTCGGAGGGTTATTTATCCATTGTGGGTGGCCAGAGTTGATTTGGGGTTTATTGATAGGCCCAAGAAGGATGTGTATTTTGTACCAGGTCGGATTAGTTGACTCCGTAACGCTATTGTTGAGGGATGTGCCATTCGGTTAGAGTTGAGCTTATTCGTGTTCCGATATGTTCTTTGAGTTACCCTTCTATGCCACGAAAGGTTGTGATTTGTTGGTTATATGCTCACATGGTGCGGTTCTATTTGGGCCTTATGGCGGAATTTGAGCGAGATGAGTATTAGGGTGCCGAATGATTGATTATGCATTGGTTATGTTCTTTCCGGATTGTGGTATTGTGTTATTTGCTTCTCCATGATTATGGTCAAGCACCTTGGGTACTTGATGCCGAATTGCGTGTGGTTATTGATTCTGAGCATGGTAGCTAAGGTATTTCATACGGACTAGTGTTTGGATGGGGTCACACATTGCAGCGGAGTTATATTGAGATATGGTCCTTTGTATTAGATTTGTGTGTTATGGTTCTACGGAGTGTGATGGTTTTTTAGCATTGCGTTGTGGCGGTACTTGTTGAGCTTGTGGGACGGTTCTCTCGTTTGAGTCATTTCTATGTTTGAGCACATTTGAATTGTTGTGTATTGGTGCACGGATTGCACAGTTTGTGGCTCTGGGTATATTGGTATGGCATGTCAGTATAGTAGCTTGTATTTGATAAGATGAGGTCGTCGGATCTAGAATTGGTGCTATCGGATTTTATTGCGGTATATTTGAAAGGATAATATCGCTGATCGGCTTAGAAATTTGCTATAGTTCTTGTCGAAGAAGAGGGAGATCCATGACTTGTTATGAGTTTTTGCGTGTTTATTTCATCATCTGCAGTGTACAAAGATTTAGAACGGGGTTTGGTTTGATATGAGGTTTATTACCGGTATTGGATTGTTTTGAGCAGCTACTATGATCGAAAATTTTGCTACGAGTATGCGAGTCGTGTCTTATGTCATGTGAATGCATCTTGGGTTGTGGATATGGCTTGATACAGCTTGTTCAGATTTGTACAATGTGTAGGTGCGAAGTTCGGGTCTTGTAAGAAATTTCGGACGTTGGAAATTGGATTTTGTGGTTTACGGGCTAAGGTTGAAGTAATGATCTTCAGCTATATTGTGTTGTCGGGCCTATATGGAATAGGGTGGCATAGGATCACCCCGGGTACATGCATGGTAAGATTACACGGCAATTTGATTGCTTTGGAATGACTCTTGGCCGAGGACGAACGTATGCTTAAGTGGGGGAGGATGTAACGACCCGACCGATCGTTTTGAGCATTTGCACTTCGCTCGGTGGTAGGGCATGAGTATCTCCGTATGATGTAGTATGAATTGTGTGTATCGTCG